CTGCTGCGCCATGTGGTCACCTCCTGGGCAGGCGGGGATCGAACTCATGCTGAAGTAGCTTTAGCTTCTTAGTGCAGTGCTTTAACCTGCTGTGCCACCAGGGAGGGCCCTCATTTAAGGATTTTTTAAGCTTCCCTTATATATTTAAAGTAGGTTTCAAAATAGGGTTATATACAGGTGACTATCACACATTTTACTAGGAGATTTAAAGCACTTTAGTTTGAATATATCTTAACTACCACCCTGAGCCATATTTAGATTGACTCTCTAATTTTTGAGATGGACAATTCTAAGAGTGAAAGGGTCAACAAATATAAATTAGGACTGTCCCAGGATACTGATTGTATTCTTTCTGGTCATGGTACACATACGATTTTTTTTCCTGGGGATTGGTAGGTAGAATGGTCACTACTCAGCTTTAAGGTGTGGCATCCTTACTTCAGACATCTTAATTTTTATTAGTAACTTATTTTAGATCTATCTTTCTTGAATTTGATGTTTCTCAAAATGAAAATTTTGCTGGATATTAATAACTTCTACTGCATAATAATAGTGCCACTCCAAAAAAAAGAAAAAAAATAATAAAAAACGTTTAAATTTGGGTTAATCAAATAACTTATTTTATTCATTCAAACATAATATTTATTGATGCTTCCCACATATTGGCATTGTGATCATTGTGAATATAGTAAACAATAGTAAATGAAATGGCCAAAGATCCTTATCTTGGTGGAACTTAAATTCTAGGAGGTAGACTTTCTGGGAATTAATGGCCAGTTAGTCAAGGCTCATAGCACAGCTGGCATCTGACCAGAAACTCTTCATTTTTTTAATTGTACTGTTCAGTATTAATAGCCATCAGGCATGTGATTTAAAATCAAAACTTAAATTCAGCTACTTATTTAGGATTGGCATTTTTCAGGTGCTCAGTAGTCAAGCAGCTAGTGGCTATTTATTGAGAAGTGCAGATATAGAATATTGATTTCATCATAAGAATTTCTATTAGAGAGCATCACTCTATTTATTGGTTTCATCATAAGAATTTCTGTTAGAAGGCAGGAAAGAAAACATGGGAATGGACAGAGCTAAAGAAATTACTTATTGGATGCCTAGTATGATTAGTTTGTCTAATCTTTATCACAAACTCATAAGATAGTTACTTAGGTACTTTGTTTTGGGCTCCTGTAGTTAGTTTTTAAATTTTCTTCTTTTTTAGCATATATTTCATTTCTAATTAAAATAAGAGATGGGGTGAAAAACCATTTCTATTCAAGTACAGCATATATGTGGAGAAGTGCCTGTATTACAGGTAGACAGCTTGACAAATGTCAACTGACACATGTTAACCAACATCCAGCTAAAGAAACTACTAAACCATCACTTCATAAGTTTTCCTTCTAATTATTTCCCACTCTTTGAAGTAACTACTCTCCTGACTTCTAAAGGCACACGTTGGTTTTGTCTGGTTTGTGCTTTATAATTACTCTGTGATATTTTGCCTTATCTCAATTCTCACTAATTATTTTATAATTAATTCTTTCTTCTTCTTCTTTTTTTGTTTTTACCATTTTAAGAACTTCTGCGAAAGATGGTGAGGCAGGAAGCACTAGGAATCTGTCTCCCAACTTGGAGACAAATACTGATGCAACTGTTTTGAAACTCTGGAATCTTTTGAAGGCTTGGGATACACTTGGATAGCAAAATGTAATTAATTTAGGACAATTTCAGCTCTTAACACAGTAACAGGTACCCATCTCAACTCTGGTCTCTTGAAAGGCAGCTAAGTATAGGTTCCTGAAGTATACTACACACAGCTTTTGGAAGCAAAGATTGTACAAAAAGGACCTTGACCTCCAGTATTAGGGGTCTATGCTCTGATTACTACTTGTGATGATAGTGGTGCAGACAGAGGAGGACAGCCACTTTTGTTGCACCTTTCATCTTTACAAGCCCTTCCTCCAGCAAAAATGACCTCCAGGAAATTTAAAGGGCCGTCCTTCCCACAGCTTCTCCACATATACACTTCATTTGTGAGTGTTCACCATTTGGAGAACCAGACATTAAAAACTAGGACATTTAAAATCAAATTTATAGTTGGAGATAATTAGAAAGTGACTACATGTGCTAAAGGAAAGACTCAGAAAAGATATGATACATTTCAGATTGATCTGGATATGGGTCAATTATAGGCCATATTGATATATGATATATAATAGAAAACAAAAAACAGCAAATGTTGGGGAAAAGGAGAGACTTTGATTTCCAGAATTATCTCATTATTAGATTTAAATGTTCATTTTCAACAAAAAAATCACAAGGCATAGAAATGCAGAAAAGGTTGACCCATTCTAAAGGGAAAGTAATTCAATAGTATTTGCTCCTGAAAAAGATCTAATGGTAGATGGAGTAGATAAATACTAAATGATGACTTTAATATGCTCAAATAACTGAAAATATGGAAACAATCAAGAAAATATGATATATGAATAAACTTGAAATAGCTGTAAAGAGATAAAAATCTAAAAAAGAAACCAAATAAAATTCTGAAACTAAAAATAGAAAAATTAAATAGAAAACTAGAAACTAAATAGAAAACTAAAAAAATAGAAACTAAATAGAAAAATTCACCATAGGCTGTCAAATGCATATTTGAGTGAGCAGAAGAATAAATCATGAACTTGAGGGTAGGGCAATGGAAATTGTTAAGGAAGAACAGAAAGAAAGAGAAAAGATTGAAGAAAATTAAAGAGAGTGTAAGAATGCCTGTGGGACACCATCTAAAAGATCAACATATACATCATGGGTTTCCCAGAAAGAGGTGGGGTTATATTGTTATAGGGCACCTCAATACAGAGAGGCACCCCTGGAGCCTCAAAACCTGCCTGCTCTAAGTGGGTTCTGCCATCCGCCGCAACAAGACAAAACATATAAAGCTTTAAGAAAAAGTGACTTTAATACAGTGAATATACAATATGGAACACAAAGAATATAACTTCTAAATCAAACACCTGAAGT